TATAATATATATACATATATATTCATTTAGTTAACAAAATTAGTTGAACTTAAATATTTTAAACCTTGGAATTTTGTGGCGGCAAGGAACCTATTGATTAATTCATTTTAAAAGTTTCCCGCGCATCGTTCAAAAAAAGTAATAAAAAAAATCGGAAAAATAAAGAGATTACTAAACTATTTAAAATATAATTTGTGCAGCTCCTTGGTCTTGACGGGCAGAAAGTTTTGCATTTCATCAGGATTCGTCCATAAACTAATGGACGACTGTGGAAAGAGGGAAAGAAAGTGTATTAGCTAATTGGCTATTACTTTACAGGTGTGTGTGTGTGTGTGTGTGTGTGTGTTTACCTGTAGCTCGGAACAGGGTGCCTCACGATGTATATACTCCTTGAGTATATAATTATTCTCGATCTCATAGTGGAAGCGCGTATCATGCATTCGTATGAGCACATCGTCGATTCGCAGAAAGTGACGCAACAGCACAAAGAAACCGGAGGGCATCACACGCTGATAAATGAGAAAGCGATAAAGATATAAGAGATCTACAAATAAGCTAAAAGGCAAGATGGGACTGCCAGCCATATAGATGGAACTGTGGCGACTAATGAGATAAACATGTAGGCATATGAAGCTAAGGTCGAATTTGGTATTATAGCTGGGCATAATTTTATATAGGATATAGTTACAATCAGGCTCAGGCTAAAGCCTTAATATACACTATATATGACAATGCTTGGGTACTCTCTGGGCACAGAGTATATATGTATACATTCGGCAACTCACAATGCGCACACTCATCGCGGAGATGCCGTGATCGTGCAGCTCATCCTCGTATAGTGTGAGATCGTGATAGAAGAGAATATTCTCACGCTGCATCAGTTTCATTTTGTTGAGCGTTTGTTCTGTGACCTCCGAACGAAAGTGTTCATTCAATGTGCCCTGATATGTGGATGTGAATGTCCAGTCGAAGGGTTTGTATTTATGTTCCATGTTCTGTTCGGCGCTGCAAGAGCGAAGGTCGTTTAAATGAGAGTGTTTGAGAGCAAAGGAAATACAATTTCCACTGGCTGTTACCGTGTTTCTCGCCATTCCTGAGCGCAGGCCACCTCGACGGCTGCCTCTTTGCCATTAGCGACCAGAGCGAGTGCGTCTATGGGCTTGAACTCCATCAGGGCGCCATCTTTGTGCTGGAGGACGAGCTTGTTTTTGTGGAACACCATGTCTGGTAGGTGAGGCAGCTCCAGCGTATGCTGATAGTGGCAGAGCTCACAGCGATTGACATCATCCTTGTCGCAGCACTTGTCGCTGCCCAAGTGGCACATACTCTTTAAAATGTGTGACTTCTCGTAGCTAATGGTCCAATCATTAAATCTTATCGTCTCGCAGTCCACCGGCAAACGCAGCACAGCGCACTGCATAACAAACATATACATACACACATGAGTCTCTGCATATATGTGGGACACCTAAGACTTGCTTACTTCATTCGTCATGTTGCTTAAGTTAGTTTCCGTAAGATGTGTTAAATAAATAATACTTTCTCATACAATTAAACGCGAAAATTATGCGGCAGTGTAGCTGTAGAAACATATATCGATATATATATTTTTTTTTAAATCCTTGCAAAATTTGTCATCGATGTATAATATAGAAATTATGCAACAAGGATGTTTAGCCAAAAGTATATTTTAATTATTATATCGAAATCCCACTTTGCTTGAGGATACATAATTTCTTAATAATTGTCCCTCAGTATACAGCAAATAAATTATCTTAAATTTAGTACTCTCATATATCGCGTTACTTATCGATTAATCGTTCGTTTGACATCTCCGAACCGAAGCGGTAAATGTTTTTGTTTTTGTCAGATATTCTCTTTCTAGGTTGTCGTAGATTTACAAATTTTGTGCATATTTTTTATTTAAAATTATAAAAAAAAAGAATAGCCTATCTCACGCATATACAACTCGATTCGCTTAATTTGCCTTATTAACGCTATGATCGCATTAAAGCGCCTGTCACGTTTTTGCCTGCTACGCGCACTTGGCAACCAACCAAAATTTTCCACATATTCGACCACTCGAATGTGCAAGGCTCAAATTACTGCCGAGGAAGTACGTAGCCTGGCTGATGCACTCAAAAATGGCCTGCGTGCCTTGGGCCAGCCAACAAATGCAACGCATCCGCATCTGATCAAGCCACACGAATTGGTGCCCGGCGTGGAGCAGGCGGAATTTCAAACGAGACGCATAAGGCTAATGGAAGGCATTCAAACGTATGCGGAAGGCTTTGGGAACGAGTTCAATGGACGCGCCTCCAGAGCGCACATGGTAAGGTTGGGCATCTATCCAAACACTCTTATATTTACGTCATATATCCATCCATCAGCTGGTCATTGGAGCCGCTTGCAAAAAGTATATGAGCGGCAAGATACCCTATGTGTTTCGTCAAAATTCGGACTTTTATTATCTAACCGGCTGTTTAGAGCCGGACTCGGTGCTTCTACTGACTATTGACGAATCAGGTACTGTGCAATCAATATTGTTTATGCGTCCCAAGGATCCCCATGCCGAGCTGTGGGATGGCCCGCGCACTGGTCCCGACTATGCGGTGCAACTGTTTGGTGTACAGGAGGCATTGCCCATTGAAAAATTCCATCAAACATTGATTGCCCGTTACAGTCAACTGAAGCCGCATTTGTGGTTCGATCTGAGCCAATCGGAGCAGTCAAATGTCACGGATGCGATGCTTCAAGTGTGCAATAACGAACGCACCCAACTGCTGCCCGTTTGCACTTTTGTGGAGAATATGCGACTAATCAAATCACCTGCCGAAATGGAGCTGATGCGTAGCACCTGTTCAATAGCATCAAGTGCGTTTAATGAGGTCATGGCTGAGACGCGTCCCGGCCAATCGGAGCATCAGCTATATGCTGCTGTTGACTTTAAATGCCGCATGCGCAGCGCCAGCTACTTGGCCTATCCACCAGTTGTGGCAGCTGGCCGAAATGCCACCGTCATACACTATGTGAACAACACCCAGATTCTGCAGCCGCAGGAGCTGCTGCTGATGGATGCGGGCTGTGAATATGGTGGCTATACCAGCGATATAACACGCACCTGGCCGGTCAGCGGGCAATTCACGGAGCCGCAGCGAACGCTCTACGACATGATGGAGCAGCTGCAAAAGGAGATTATCGGTATCTAGACATATCTACAGACTTTAGGAGTTGTTTTAATATATTTCGTTTCGCACTTGCAGAGCTGATCATGCAGCCAGGCGGCGAGACTTTGGACCAACTATTCGAGACGGCGTGCTATAAGTTGGGCAAATATCTGCAGGAAATCGGCTTGGTTCCCAAGAATCTGACGGACCACAAGGAGCTGGCGACGCAGGGCTATAAGTTCTGTCCGCATCATGTATCCCATTATCTAGGCATGGATGTCCATGATACGCCCCATGTGCCGCGCAATACACGCATCCAGCCGGGCATGGTGTTCACGGTTGAGCCGGGCATCTACATTGACGAGAAGCGCACAGATGTGCCAGCCGAATTCCGTGGCATTGGCATTCGGATCGAGGATGATGTCTTGATCAATGATAAGGGCCAGGTGGAGGTGTTGACCGCCAGCTGTGTCAAGGAGCGACGTGCATTGGAGGATCTGTTCAAATAATTTTCTTATCCAAAATAGACTGCCACAAAATTCCTAGTCATAATTTAGTTGTTATAGAATCCATATGTATATATATGCAGGTGCAGATCAATGTGTATATATATTTAAAGATATTTACTTAAGTTGTAAACAGATATTGCGTATACGCCAAGTGTTCAATGTACAAAGAGTATATAAAGTAATACAAAGAATACATATATATATTATTGTTCAAGTATATCAAGTATTAACTATTCGATCCTTAGAGCTTGGCAAACACGGGTTTCTCATCCTTGGTCAGCTGGGCGGCCACCGACTGGGCAAAGTCCTCTGACTGAAGATTCAGTTTGTTGATAATGCGCTGAAAGCAGGAAACAGCGTTTATACCATATACATAGGATATACATTCGAATTTCAGTGGGCTATCTTACAATGTGATCGAGTCCCTCTTGATTGGTATGCTCCAGGGAATAAACCATGCTTTCCTTGGTCGTCTGCACGGCTATGGGACTCTTGCTGGCAATCTCCTCGGCCAGCGCTATGGCGCCCGCCAGCAGCGACTCCTTGTCCGGATACACACGACTGACCAAGCCGCAACGCTCCGCCTCGGCGGACTCGAATCGGCGACCCGTGAAGCAGAGCTCGCGTGCCAATGATTGGCTGCCAATTGCCTTGGGCAGCCGTTGCAGTGAACCAACATCGGCGGCCATGCCAATGTCCACCTCTTTCACCTGGAAAAATGCATCCTGTGTGCTGTAACGTATGTCCGCGGCGGTAATCAAATCGACGCCAGCACCGATGCATGCCTGATGCACGGCCATAATAACTGGCTTGGGGCACAGCTCCACGGCGGTAATCGAGTCCTGATATATCTTTATGGTGCGCTCTAAAACAACGCCCTTGCGAGCCACATCATCGTAGTCAGCCAGCTGCTGACCCAAGGCCATCATGGAAGACAGATCAATGCCGGCACAGAAATGTTTGCCGGCAGCAGAGAGTACAATGGCACGACAATCCGGATTGACGGCCAGCGTTTCAAAGCAGGCTCTGATCTCGCTAGAGAGAGAGAGAGAAAGAGAGAGAGAGGGAAGGAGGGGGAAGGTTGTAGTAATACATGCAGCTGTGTGTAGGCATGTTCTTACAGCCACATATCCCTGTTGATGGCATTCAGCTTTTTGGGTCGATTCAGCTCCACATGAAAGACAAAAGGTTTCGGCGAGCTGATGGCCAATGTTTTGAACTGTGCGGCCACCTCGGTGGCAGCCTGAGCGCTGCTGTTATTCCGGTGCGGTTGCATGGCTAGCAATGGTAAAATGGTGCAAGGTTTAAACAGGCTGTTTTAACTGTTGCTGGTGCCACAGATTTGGACTTTGCACCGGACAATTGGACTCGGGTTTAATAGATTATCCAAAGCAATACATTGACAGCTGGTCACACTCACCAACTAGACGTGGTGCCAATCTTATAACGTTTGTTATTCTTGGTAGCGACATAGTTTATTATTTAAATAAATTCTAGAAAATCAGCCTTTAATATGCGTATAGCGGTTGTTGACAATTGTTGCATTTGTAATCGTACCGACAAGTGCCGTTATCCGTTATCGATAATGTATAATGTATGCGATAGTAATTGGTACACATGTACCCTAATTAGTTCCACTGGCCAGTGTTGGTACATTATTTAATCATCAAAGTAACGTGCCAGATGTCGCTTTCTATTATCGATACTTATTTTTAACGATAGTTTGAATAGTGTGCGCTGCCACATTTGATTACTGTTCTAACGCTCAGTTCCTGCCGGCTTTTAGGAGGCGAAATAAACTTAACGTAAGTCATTTTGTAGACTTTTTCTAGTATAAACTGTCGGCTACACTTTCAGCTGTTTGCAATTATCAAAAACAAACAAAGCTCTTAAGATTAGCGAAAACACACTTACAAGCATATCAAATAAATTGACACGGAATACATCTAAGTAAAATGGAGGAATCGCTTGACGTGCTCGTTTTTGGCTCGGCCATTATAGATTTTATGTGGTAAATGCATATAAAACTGGGATGCAGACATATTTAATAGCAAACTCTTTACATTATCAGCTACGCACCCCGTTTGCCCAATCCTGGTGAGACTTTGCATGGTACTAAGTTTCAAACTGGATTCGGTGGCAAGGGCGCCAATCAATGCGTAGCTGCTACTCGCCTGGGCTCCAAGACAGCTTTAATTGCCAAACTGGGATGCGATAGCTTTGGCAACAACTATATATGTCACCTGCAGGCTGAGAAAATAAATGTGAAGCATGTCCAGCTACTGCCTGACTATACAACGGGTGTAGCTCAAATCGCAGTCGCCCATTCTGGCGAAAACAACATCATAATCGTCGTGGGAGCCAACAAGATGCTCGGCCCTAAGGATGTGGAAAATGCATCCTACTTGTTCGACAAGGCCAAGGTGTTGGTCTGTCAACTGGAGACACCCATTAATGGCACGTTGGAGGCATTGCGTCGATTCAAGGGAATATCCATTTTGAATGCTGCTCCAGCCATAGCAAACGCCCCTCTGGAGCTGATACAATTGTGCACCATTTTGTGTGTGAACGAAACCGAAGCTGGAATCCTGGTGGGCAGGCACATCTCATCCATTAAGTATGTACAAAATGCATAAATACATTTATAGATATTTATAAGCATTGAGAGATTATCTACATTACAGCGATGCATTCAATGCATTGGCGCAGCTCATTCACATGGGCGCCAACATTGTAATCATCACGCTTGGTAAAATAGGCGCCGTCTGTTCCTCGAGAGCAACTGTTTATAACTGTCAACTGGTATCAGCTCCAGTGGTGCCCCCGGAGTTGACGAAGGACACAACTGGCGCTGGAGATGCCTTCATTGGTGCCCTGGCTCACAGCTATGCACATTTTCCAGAAAAAGATCTGGCTGATCACATTGCTTATGCCAATTCAGTGGCATCTCAGTCAGTGCAGCGCCTTGGCACCCAGTCAAGCTTCCCATATGCCTAAGAAAGAGAGACAAGAAACTGTTGAAAAGCCATTAACCAAATAATTTACATATGTATGCATGTAAAAATAGTAATAATAAAACGAGGCCTTAGTCCAGCATACTTGTCACGACGCGAGTATGCACAAACGTAACATGCCATAGACATTTATTTATATACATAGATATGTACATATATGTATGTATATCTGCTAGACTTATGTATTCGATATCCAATAAATTTAAGACATTTCTTCCACCCTTGCTCTTCTCAAGATTGACGTACAAAAAAGGTGGCATTAACTGTATGTTTTTATTACAAGATTTAATGCGCTATTTGTGTTAAATCGTAAGTATAAAAAGTGATATTTTTTGTTTAAACGTTCAATTTTGGTCAACCTTCATTTGACAACAGAATTTTTCAGCAAACGCAATTCGCATCGTGTTAACGTGTATGTATATGTGTGTGTGTGTGTTGACAAACGAATTCCTTCAACAGAAGTGGTAGTAAATGTTTATGCGCTGCAATCATCCTCATCACTTCTTGCCCGACTTCTTAATGCCACCGCCCACAAGGGGTCCCTTCTTGGCTGCCTGCTGTTTGGCGGCATCGAGTGCCTTTTGTTGTTCCTTTTGCTTCTGCTTGAATGCCAAATCTTCTTCGTCGAGATCCTTGCCTTCCTTCTTGGGAGCCTTCAGTGGCTTCTTTTTACCGCCCTCACGACCACTCATCTTCTAGAATTTTATATACAAATTTAAATAAATCTTTTATATGAAGAGCTTAGCAAAATAGTCACGCACTCGCACGTTTTCCCAACTTTTCTATTTAGTGTTTAGCAATGACAGAAAACTATTGCTTGTCAAAAAAGCAAAAACGAATTCGGTTATCGATTGTTATTTTCTTTTCAACCCTTGTCACAAAGTGTTATTTTCAATTCGTATATATGCTGAACAAAATCATATTTATAACATAGGTATTTATAATAGGTATAAAAAATAGTTTTATTGCAATACCTTTAAAACTGACTATCTTTTAACCATTCTCAGTGGTCCACACAATGCCTGTGAAAAATATCGTACTGTCATCGATAGCTATCGGGTATTTCGATTTCTAATGCAGTTTAAGCTGCTCGATAGTTTACCACACTGCTCCGGTTTTGCGAACACTTCACGAATTGCGTTCGTTAAGTGAGCACGCGGCTAGTTTCAACGCCAAGTGGGAAATTCTATTCTGCAAAAGAAGTTTTTATTCTGTGGCTTTTGTAAGAAGTTTAATAACTGAAGGTATTGTGGTTTTCTTTTATACAACTCTTAATTCTATCTTACTGCGAGCTACTACAAAAATGAAAATCGGACAGTGCATTCATTTAAAATTTGCCATTGATTTTTTTCTTTACGTTCACCTTGCACTAGATTTAAGTTATGTAATGTGCTAAATTTTTTTTTATGTGTCGGTGATGGTTTATTTTTCCGGTGTATGAATCTAACTCTATATTGTCGCCAAACCAGTGCGGCGTTTTCAACAAAATGTATGACTTTATTTTTTATATATAAAAATGGCAAAAAGCGCTGCCTAAGTTGTGCTTACATAACCACAAAATAATTTGCAAGCGAAAGCAACATTAAATTGAAGGCTACAAAGTTTCGGCGTCTAATATAAGTCACAAGGTAAAACTGTCGTCCGTGTCTCTGTGTCCTCTTTTTCAATGCACCCACATACACACACCTGCAGTGTGTTAAGAACGCTCACGAGTTCTAACCTAAAAAATTTTTTTGCAAGAAAAAGTTGAAAGCAGAAAAAAACGGTGCCACACAAGCAAACTGTCGTGCACACGCACACACACTCACAGGAACACGCACACGTTTACAATTGAGCACAATTTTCAACAGCTGCTTTGTAATGAATCTAATTGAATATCCACTTTTTTTTACATGTAGATGTATCATATATACATGTGCAGAATTTTCACTATATTTTCTTTCGTATTAATTGTGTACAAATGCGGCACACACATACAGATGTAGTCGAGCATTCATATGAATTCCATGTGCTTATCGCGCTCTCTCCCTTACTCACACGCCATGCCATTTACACGCGCAAGACTCTCAGCGACTATAAATGCCCCTGTATATGTGTGTGCGCATATTTCAGTGTAGTTTTTTTTTTTTTTTTTTTTTTTTTTTTTTTTTTTTGCAATTCTGTATACGGCTATTTAGATGGTTGCTCGTTGCGTGCCGTTTGGGCTAATTATGATGCCTCAGTGTCATGGAGTATTGCCCTCGAATAGAGCTCGAAACTCGCCGCTACGT